CATAAATAGGGTATCGATTTTGGCCATAACTGAATAGGGTATGGTTTTTGTACTCTAGTCCGCGCTTGATTACACCATTTTGCTAATGCTAGCTACAGTTCCTTGTGGGGGTAAAATTTGATCTATTCAATGAATTAATGAGGCCACTTTTTGCAGAGTGATCACTTCTTGCCCCCACAAGGGAACGGAACTAGGAAATATTTGCATTAGCAAAATGGCCTATTGGGTATGTTTTTTAGAAGAAGCTACTTTTTCATCATAATCGATGTCCATCAACAATAGCCCTACATAAATCATGTTTAGGGCAACTGTGCCAGCCGCAACGGTCATAAATAGGGTATCAAATTTTGGTCAGGTCATAAATAGGGTAGAGAAAATCCCAGATTTTGGTCATAAATAGGGTGAGAGTTTTGGAAAGCGGGCCGCACACCTCCACCCAATTTTTCTGGGAGTACCCCCTCCCCCCGGGCCGAGACTGCTCAATAAGAGCAAGTTCCTGAAAAGTCTATAAGGCCAAGTTCAGACGCCGTTTTTCACATGAGCCGAATCGAATGCTAATGAGGGAGGACAAAGGATTTTTCTCATTTGCCTTCGATATGGCTCATGTGAAGTACAGCGTCTGAACTTGGCCTAAGATCTTATAAATTTTGGAATGGTAGCGAGTTACACTTAAAAGACACGATTGACATACAGTATAGTCTATCGTTTGAAACGAAATAGTTGCGCGTTGTAATTTTTGCGATTTTTAGCGTTTTTCCACGATGCGCAAAAAAGGTTGCCCCAGCAAAAAACTTCCCGCAAAAATTTCCTACGCAAGGATTTACCCCATCTGCGAAATTATACGTACTAGCATCACAGGTAGATTCTTGTTAATGCCATTTATCTAAATATCTCTTTCGTTCAGAGACATAACTTTGAAATTAGACAAAACATTCGGAAATAAATCAATGAAGTTGCCCTTGATACACTTAAGAGGTAGCTGCTTAAAGTTTACAGAAAAGGCTCGTCTGAAGGTGCTATAAGTCACACTTGAGTGAGATGTGGTTGTAAGAGAGTGACATTGATTACCGTGTTTCACATCTCTGCATGTTGTTTAACTTGTTGATTCCATTTAGTGTAATAAATAATCAAAATGTTGTAATTTAAATTAAACGCGACCTCCTGAAAATCGCGAAAATTAATACTCAATAAGAAAAACCAGTTTATCACAATCGCAAAAAGTAGTTCTCGCAAAATACAAAATAAATTCGCCGATCCGCAAATTAAACTCCCGCGAAAATTTCGTGCCACACGATAGTCACATGTTATGTGTCCTTGTACTTTGTCATAAAATCCTGGTGAAAGGTTTTTAACCGTTCTAACATAGGGATGAACTTGTTTTCCGGTAGAATAA